AGCGCCCCAACCGCTCCGGCGGCGCGGAGACCTCGCTGGACCTCACCCTCATCCTCATCATCGCGCTGGGCTCGGTGTCCTTTATCTTCCTGCTGGCCATGATCGTGCTGGCCGTGCGCTGCCAAAAAGAGAAGAAACTCAACATCTACACGTGTCTGGCCAGCGACTGCTGCCTCTGCTGCTGCTGTGGCGGCGGGGGCTCCACCTGCTGCGGCCGCCAAGCCCGGGCTCGCAAGAAGAAACTCAGCAAGTCGGACATCATGCTGGTGCAGAGCTCCAACGTCACCAGCAACCCGGCCCAGGTGCCCGTGGAGGAGTCCGGGGGCTTTGGCTCCCATCACCACAACCAGAATTACTGCTACCAGGTCTGCCTGACCCCCGAGTCGGCCAAGACCGACCTGATGTTCCTGAAGCCCTGCAGCCCTTCTCGGAGCACGGACACTGAGCACAACCCCTGCGGGGCCATCGTCACTGGCTACACTGACCAGCAGCCCGACATCATCTCCAACGGAAGCATTTTGTCCAACGAGGTAAGGCTGAAGCGCAAGGACCACCATCTCTCATCTCCTCCATCCGAAAGCCTCCTCTAGCCCGGCCCCTGTTGTTCCTGGTGCACTGTGTATTTATTTTTAGGATATTAGCTTATTTGTATCTCTGTGGGAGGGTGACCAGGGGGGTCACCCTCTTCCGCCCCTTTGTGTGTAATCTAAACTACGTGTTGTCCCTTATTTTTTGCTCTCCACCCCTCCACGTTTATTTTCATCTCCTACCCTGGGGGCATTGCCCCCTTGGACTTGCTTTCTTCCCTCTGGCATCTTGGCTTTAAAATTCCAACCTCCTCTCGGTCCTTTCCCTTAGAAATCTGGGAGTGAAGGGGCAAGTGGGCGGGGACAGGGGGAAATGGGGTGGAGGAACTTACTGGCACTGGCAAAGGTCTTTTCTCTTTGCGTCTGTCTCAGGCGTTAATAAAGTTCATTGTTTTGCCCTGTTTATCGATGATGCTTTCAGTCGCGTGTAAAAGTAAGCTGTAGACTGTCTAACTTTGCACAGTTGTCTGAACTCGAATGCATGTTGTAGTGAACGAGTTATCAGATTCCTGTCCTCTGAACTCGGGTTGCAGAAAAGCCTTCAGTTCTGTTCTGGACAGCATTTACAGACGCTCTTGAAGCCGAAGGCCCACACAGTGTGAATTTGAATGAAGTTGCTTTGGCACAAGCCCCTGTAAGCATAAACTAAACGGAAGGCTTAAACAATTGTTGTCTTAAATATCTCTTAGCTAATAATCACCTTCTTGCCACTGTTTGTTTTTTGTTTTTTTTTGATAAATCACTGCTGTTGGCTTTCTTCATCAAAGCATTTGGCTTGTCGATTCTGATTTATTCTTGAAAGATGGAGAAGTGGCAAAGTTGGAGGGAGAGAAGGAAGGAGGGAGGGAGGGAGGAAGGGATGGAGGGAAGGAGGGAGGGGGAGAACAGAGTTGATTCATATAAAAGAAAGTTTGGGCCAGAAGAGGTGTATGGGTGGTGGAGGTGGGAGGAGGATGCAGAGGGCCTTTGGAGGGGGAAAGTTTTTGGTGGGAGGGAAAGTTATGAACTCCTTTCTTGGCAGGTTATTTTATTTATTTGAGTCTTAGATATTATTAATTGACTTTCATGAATATTTGTACAGCTCATTTGTATCTTAAGCACATTTTGAAAATAAACAACAAAATAATTCCATAAAACATCCAAACTTTTGCTTATTGAGCGTGCTGTTTTTCTTGTGTCAACCAGTATACACCTAAACACTTTTGTAGGCCATTGAAAGCAAGACTACAGAGTATAACTAGGTTGACTCTATTGGAGACAATCCTTTATGAGCCCCAGCTGTGAGGTCATTTGCATTCTCTCCTTAAAAAACGCCCACACGTTTAACATTGGCCTTTTACACCTGCATTTTTTTAACCTTTACTGAAAATCTAGACTGAGGTGTCTTTTCATATCTCCGTGCCCTTTCCCAGCAATTGGGCTGAAATCTTAGGACAACATAGAAATCCATAAAAATGTCCACAATTACTTAAGTTAGAATTAGTTTTCAACCTCAAAAGCAGACTATTAGTTAACCCTTAGCATTCAAAGGCTCTTGATTTATTTATTTTTTTTCTAGACTAAACATCAGAGAGCAGAGCTCAGCTATCTAGTTGACAGACCTCGCCGAGTTAACAGGTATGGACTCAATTTTTTTTACTTCCTAGCTTGATGTATGGACAATCTACTACCCATTGCAAGTAAGAATTAGGTATATTATTCAATAATATAATATAAAACATACAAAGTATTTCCAATTAAGGCAGGACATAAATACTAATTAAGTTGGGTTTCCTACTTAACATTAAAATGTGGGTATCTTATATACAAGTGTCTAAATATTTTTGAATATTCTGTCAGTTTTCACCCCTACACTGTTTCTGATAGTCTTCCTAACTGTTCCAGGTATATATACACACCTGCTGTGTAAAATGATATACACATATGCGTAGCCCCAATCGTAGAATTTCTATTGCCTAAGCTTTCCATGCCTTCAAGGGCTCAAACTGACTGCTAATGCTCAATTTTAAAGAGTTAGGCTTCAGCTTATGAAAACAAGCTTTATGCAGAAATAAAGCCAACTCAGAGGCCTATGAATCTGCAGCGCCACTGGCGACCATGTGGTGGCAGAAGAATGTTTTGTGTGCAACTTCACCTTTTTTATTCTAATGTTCACATTTTTGTACTTCTAGTTCTGCATTCCAGGAAGCCGACATAGTAAGCTCTAAGGACAGTGGTCACGGAGACAGTGAGCAGGGAGATAGTGATCATGATGCCACCAACCGTGGCCAGTCAGCTGGTAAGTGTGATCAAAGAGCAATCTAAATGCTGGCTTTTATAGTTTAAAAAAAAAATCTAGAAAAGATGATGTCCTAAGTAATTTTTATTTTTTTTTGGGTAAATTTAATGTTGCTACCTCTACAGGAAAGGACTGCGTCATCCTATGTTGATAACTGTATATTCAAAGAGGATTCTAAAAATGCAATGTTCCTTTGGAGAGTTAAAGTTAGAATTTCATTGTGGAATATATTAGAATTTGAAATATTTCCTCCTTATGTAATGTCCTTTAATGAGATTATAATGCATGCAAAAAGCCATAGATCTCTCACCTGGGCCAGTCCTCAGTCTTCAGTCAATTAAGATATTATTAGACTTGTTTGCGGATGAGGTAAGTGAAGATGAATGAAATTGATTGACCTGTACAAGGTCACAAGAGGCTGAGTGGATAACTGGGACTCGAATCCACATTTCTTTCCATACAGTGCATTTTGCGTGCCACCAAGTAGTGAATTTGAGAACAGGTGGCGATTGAAAGTCATAAATAGGTCGAAAGCAGGATTTCCAACCCTGGGTTCTTAGGCTTCAGGACATTAGCAAACATGTGATAGTGTGTATTTCCGGACGTGTGTTAGGTTTCCTTGTATTTCCAACAGGGTCCATGACCTGTCAGAAAGTTGGACGCCGTGTATATTTATGTGTGGGCTTCATGGTAGTCACTGATTAGGCCGCAATGGAATACATATATTTCATCTTATTTTATTTATTTTGCTTTAGTTTTTCCATATGAGTTTATTCTTGACATTTTATAGGACCCTGATAACTCTAATTACTAATTCATAAAGGAAACACTTAAGAGAAATAACATGTGTACCTTAACATAATGAAAATAGTCTCATAAAGTTTGGATTTTCTTTCCCTTTCATTTGCACTTCATCTTAAAGGGTGCTTGCTAATTTTGTTTTCTTTTACTTTTTATTTTCTGATCAAGTTTTGTGTTTATCTGATACATAAGAAAATGGAAAGGCAAGTCACCTTTTGTAACTTCTAAAAACGTCCACCATTGGACCGTGTCTGGGTTCAACTTCTTTGGCTTGCGATTTGAGCTTTATTTTGATTAATGATGTAAGCATAGAGTGATAGGGTCCTTGTCTTCAAGGCAGCGTTGGTCCTCGAGAGCACCCATTCCTCAACACCCTTGGTGGACCTCTGAATGGGGCTGAGGCAGTGTGTCAAAGGGCAGTACACGCCCCGCGGTCGCCTGGCAGCAGTGGCCGCTGCAAGCCTAAGACTGGGCTAATGTGTGCTGTGTCTGAGGCTGCCTTAAGCTTGGGAAACACAGGCAGGAGGAGGGGGAAAAGGCTGCTCAAGGGTCTCTTTATTTTGCTGCAAGTCATTAATATGCAGACCTAATGAGACTTGAGAACTGCCAAGAATCCCCGGAGGTCCCTGCCCCTTGCAGGCCTTCACGCTAAGTGAACAGAGCATCTATTTAGTGTCTGGGAACCTGACAACAAACCAGATCTTGCCAGAAGTTTATATTGGAGTACAAAGTCCCTTTCATTTTTGGCCTATATATGGCATATGATTTATTGTTATCTTAAGAAGCTGTACATTTAGAATCATGCATTCCTATTCTTTTCTCAGAGTGTCTAACTTAACAGTCAGCCTTTTAAGACTTTTAAAACAAAATCTTTAATATAAAAAACTGAGTATCTGCTGAATGCTCCCTGGGATGCATTCTATTCCTTTCCAACTCTACGGCTTTGCCTGGTGTGTGTGTGTGTGTGTGTGTGTGTGTGTGTGTGTGTGTGTTTGCTTTTTTCTCCTGTGGCACTCCAACCTCAATAAACATTTCAATTAGTTTAGTCCCTCAGACATAATGAGCTATAATCACCTAACCAAAGAAAGAGAAATGAATAAACATCTGCAAAAAGCACTAAATTTGGAAGGTGGATGGGAATATATTCCTGCCCGTGCACCTTCCAGTAGTTCTTTTATTTCATAGGCACTCAGTGTTGCCATTTTGGGGATGTTTCTTTCCATTGTTTGAGATGTCAAAGCATTAAAAGGAAAATGAAAATACTAAACTATGTTCTGAAAAACATTTTTTAAAAGTAAGACAGTTTTTATTTTTCTTTATCAAAATAGCCAGTTCTCCCCTATCCTAATGTTTTTAAACATGTAAAAGTAGTACAGAATCTGCAATCTGTGTATTTCCTTAACAGTTTATAGGGCAGCCACTACATACCGGGCACAAGAATAGCTGTTTCAGAATTGGAACTGCACACTTTTATTAAGAAGTAATCGCACCTTTGTGTGCTGAATTGCAGTCAGTTTTAATATGTCTAATTTCATTGTAAGAATGATTTTGAATGTTTTCTTTTTTAAGTATACAATCCTAAACGCAGAGAATTAAAATGCATTTACTTAATGCTTTTTTCCAGTCAAACTGATGTTGTGTATTATAAACCCACATGAAAAAGTTAAAATATTTTCTAAAAGTTAAGCCCATTTCAGTATATCCATTTCATTTCATTGAAAAGCCAGATATTAACTATCTTCCAATGTTGCAATATTTAGGAAATATTCAAAGCACATGCATTTTCAGGTTTAGAATATGAAAACATTTCATACTAATAAGCAAATCTCTCTCAGCTGGATTTTAAGGGGAAGAGATTAGATTATCAAGGGGAAATAACTCTGGAAAGATATAGAAATCTGAATTTTCTCCTTTAGTTTGCACTGCATCCCATACTGCATTTCATACACTATTTGGCTTAGTGCTTCGCCTGTTTAAACTTCCTAACTTCTTTATTTCCACATTCTTTTTCTATGTTAACATTACTTTATAGGCACGTATTTAGATATGCCTTCTATTTATTCTTCTCTGAATAGTTTTCCTCTTTTGTTCTCCCCTCCCCCCACTTGTCCTCTTTCTAAGCCATTTGAAGTCACCAATTTTGTTCATAGAAGGGCTTTAAATACGGAGGCAGCTGCACAGAGAATCACATAAGCTTTTTCAGTTTCCCACTGCACCTGGATCCTGTGTAAAATTCGTCAGATTGACCACTGCTCTGTGGAACTTTTCTTCCTACAGCCTTGTCAAGGTGCTTTCCATGTCTTTTTCGGTGCGCTATTGATGTATTGGTCAGATATGGCAAAAGTCCAAGGAGATGTGGTAAATGCATGCATAAATCATCACAAGGAACAAAACTGATTAATCACAGCTGAAATAGCCAAAGAAAGTCAAGGTGGATTTTAAAAGATATATCTTTTCAATTTTGTTTATTTTATCATTAGATTAAAAGATAGGCTTTTTTTTTCTCATTTAGAATACTGGTACAACATTTTTTGTTGTATATCCTTAGACATTTTCATATTATTGGGAGTACAACTAAGGAGATCTGTTAAGTTGTAAGAAGTTGCTTTTTAATTTAAAATACAATGTGCATAATACTAGAATTAAGTATGAATTTATTTTTCATAATTGTGGCTTCTGAAAAAATATATTGAAGAGGCAAACCCTAATAAGTGATTCTGTTAATGCTACCTCAAAATGTCAAATTGCTCTTAATTTTTTCAGTTACAAGGGAACTTATCATCTAAATGTATTTATTTCTTAACTAATTATTATGAGATTGATACATAATACATGGTCAAATTTTGGCTATACATTTTTAAAAATGATTTGAATTATCAATATAAACTAGTAGGTAAATTATGTCATGAACTGTATTAATATCAATAAGAGAATCCTTGAATTACCATAAATGTAAATTTACCTTTCCAAAAACTCTAAGAATTTAGAGACTGGCAAAGTTTTTGGCTTTATAAATAAATTGAATTACACCATTGTTTGCAAAAACTCACTAAGGTTTGTGGTGAATGTCTGAGCTACAAAGATTTGTAATTAGAAAAATACATGACAAAATATTGAGAGAAAGTGGAAAAAATATAAACATTTTGAAAAAATAGGTAGAGAAAAACTATGATAGACATGTTTTGAACTTTATGTTTGAATCATGTTGATAAATATCTGCCTCCGAACCACATTATCCTAATAATTATAGCAATTTCTATGGTTATAATTAATATCTCTCAGTTTCCAATGTTATGTGGTCAAAGTAATACTAGAAATTTCCTCAAAAAGTTTAAGTGTTGATTTTCTTTAAAATTAACTTATCATGTTTGAAAATAATAAACATCTTTTATGAAGGTTTGGTGCATGAGAAATGTACACATAGTTTTATATTATTACATTCATCAGGAAACAGTACAAGTTAAATACAAATATAACATCTTTGAAATTATAATTTGTTCTCAGTGGTACTATCACTGTCTCCAACAATAAGGGACAAATTATTTGCCAGTTATAAAAGACATATTTTAAAATTTGTCTAAATATATCTGTGCATAACAGGCAGTCTATCACATCAGCTGTTATGCCTTGTAGAACAGATTATTCCTGAGAAGTGAAGAAAATAAATAAGTCAGAGAAGATTTGCAAGTAAAAAAAAAAAGACTATATATATATATATATAGAGAGAGAGAGAGAGAGAGAGAAAGAGATTTCTTAGAAACTACCATACCTTCAAAACTGAGGCTTGTTCTACACTTTTCTGCTATACAAATCCTATAGGTACTACAGTAAGAGCATTTGAATGAGGACAAAAACAAAAAAAAAATCAAGTTAAATTTACTTTCCCTTGGGACATCAATTAGAGCCATTAAAAAATTCCCCAAGCAATGTGAATGTCAA